GTTGGAGGAATAGGTGGCGACACAAAAAAGAGAATCGAGACAACCGAGGTAAGTAGGTAAAGGGAACAGGATGGGTAGAAGTGAGACCTAGAAAACCGTTTCGACGATGACGGTACTCAAAAATATTCAAATCAATATAAATTATAAAAATAGTTTAAATACTAAACCAGATGAAAAATCGTAGAAAATCGCATGCGTAGGTAGGCAGTGACAGTTGGAAACGAAACTGTTTTTTGTTGTTTAAAAATGATTGCACATTGATGAGAAAGTGAGGAAGTGAAAGAGGGATTGGGGGGTATAGATAGAGATGAACACGAGAAACAAAACACAAGAAATTAGACAGATGCGGTAAAAGCCTCTATCACCAGGTGCACTGTCTTCCTTCGACGGATAAGAACCCGATACGCGTCGACCAGTGCTTTTCCATCGGCTCGATTTGATTGCATGCTCTTCACGTTCACTCGGCATAAGAATGCCCCGCAATAAACCTGGTTTGTCATGTCACGACGTGAAATCCGTCTAGAGAGCTGAAGCGCAGCAAAAACTAATGATAACCAAGCTGATTGTATGGGCGTGTCTGTGCCGGGTGCAAAAACTCAGTGGGAGAAAGTAGCAAGGCTGTAGTCGAGGAAAGAACAAACAAAATGCGCACTCCATAAATAGATATTGGACAGGATGCAAGTACGGGAAGGGGGCGCGAAGAGGAAACTCAACCATATAAAAGATACAATGGATTACAGGAAACGAGAAAAATTATGACTTAAGGAAATGTTCGTTTGAAGATCCGGGTACAGGGATAGCATCAGTGCGAGAAAAATACGTTGCATGTTTCACATGTTTTTGACGCAGATGTGCGTGTTGATTTACCCGCAGAAAAACATGTAAATATAAATTCAGAAAATTTGTATGAAAGCTTATGTTTAACACAACAAAAATGGGGATTAAAAATTAAAAAAAAATTATCTAATAACTTGCATCAAAATTTAGAACGACGACGAGGTTAGTTTCAACTGTGAGGCCAGTGTACGGGCCATTCCATCGCCAGTCGGTCCACCAGTCTACGTGTTTATGTAGGCAGAAATCTATAAACATAGACATAACCAATAAAAACACTACGAAAATATTTTTGAAAAAGTTTCTTCGCCAAACTGATGCGGTATGCAAAAAATTAGAAAAAAGAAAACAGAAAACCATATGAAAATGAGTAACAAGAATTGAGTGTACGTGTGTGTGTGTGTGTGTGTGTGTACGTGTAAACAATTTGCGCGAAGCTATGGAAAATCAAATGTGAAAACATTGAGTGCCAATCACTGATGGAACAAGGGACCTCAATTAACGCTACGGTGGTCAGGAAATCAGTTCGCACTCGATTCAGCACACGCATCCCGAAGCAGAATTTTGGTGGATGACGATAGGATTTCCACACAAACGAGGATGATAGTGAGTAATTTGCGATTTGCGCGCACTTGTTTTGATGCAGATGAACAGCTAGTATGCAAACTGATTCTTGTAGTACCGTTGCGCGAATGAAACAGATTCTTGGAGCAATAAGCAGCAGGAGGGATAGTAAACAATATTATGAACAGGAGAAACAGATGAACAGAAATGGATTATCATTGATCTATGGACTCAAGAAGCGAATGAAGTCTTCGCTGTTCCCCGAAATCGTGACTCTGAAGTTCCGCTATACCGGCACATGAAAAACGTTGCGGTTTGGGCAATCGCATACAGTTTTCAGGCAGACATCAAAAATCGATGCAACAAGGAAGCACATTCTGAAAAACCGGAGTGCGTTGCATAACACTGATAAGATGCCAACAACGGAACGACAAGAATCAGGAAAAGTGGAGAACAGGGGTTAGACAGAAGAGCTATAAACAAAATGTGCCACTGAAGTGCACCCAGTGTTGCAGACGAAAAGATGCAAGCGTAGAGATACGTGCATTCCAAGAGATTCAATGAGGAATTTGGATGACCCAGAGACCTATGGTCGGAAGAAAGTTTTCGTCCAACAGAACAAGAATTGATGGAGTTGATAATGTAGAAAAGTCACTTCAACGTGCACCAGCAGAAAGAACAACAGAATTTTTGGTGAAAGCTGTAGGTAGACAACACCACTAGAAAAATGCATTGAGTAGAGGTGCTTAGATGCGTAGGTGTATGTGGCGAACTGACGGGGATGTAGCGGCTTTACAACAAAATAAGAGAGAATTTCTGGGGAGATCATCCGAACACCACAAAACACCGAACTAGATCCGCAACAGAAAGCGACAGCAACAAATAAACCAGATTGAAATTAGTTGGAAGAGGCAAGGATAGGGCGTATGGTTCCTCCGTGGGCAACGGGGTCCAAAAAGCAATCATTTTAATCCAATGGGGGTGAACCGCATGGAGGCAAATACAAAGTTCGGAAAAAGAAAGCTGAAGTTACCAGGTGAATGCGGTCAGTTAAACCGCCCCAAAGATACACACGCCCGTATCTCGATTATCAGCAATTTGGCAAGCGCAGACATCATTGAACGTTGAATCCCCGGCATTTAAAACTGACATACTAGAAAGCACAAAACGTGAAGTAGAGATCACACCATCAAAAGATGTTGAAGAGTGTTATACGGGGAACGTAAATGTTGCCTGGCGAGATACACAGCCTTGATGGGCGCTGAGACAAATAGCGAGATCATCGCACATGGAGGTATCTTTGGTATGACGTCATTCATGGATTCGTTGGCATACTGATCCGGCTGTTTTGCCACGATTCAGAGCGAAAAAAGACCAATTACCACGAAGTTCCCTATGCTGGAAGCTTTCTGGGCACCTCACAGAGACCGATGGCGGCGTACGAAGGGTAAGTACGGATGTGGAATACTGGTTCTGAAACGANCTGAAACGAAACTAGCACAACGGAGAGAGGATATAACGAACAGAAAGTTCGGGGGATAGAACGAAAAAATAAGCACATTATACGAGGTGGACCATTCATGCGAGGTCAAACGCACACAAGATGATCACAGAGCTAGTACTAGCGACGAACAAGTAATGACAAGATAAAGAAGAGAACTAAGACGAAACGAGATGTAAGGAAAATAGTAGGAGAAACAAGCAACAAATCCAACAAACGACCACAGCAAATTGTGTGAACTGTTGAAAGTGTGAGGCTGGTTGAGACAACAAAGAATTAATCACAGACTAGAGAATGGCAAAAACGCATCGCTGAACATCGCGAGCTCGAACTGCAAAGATGGAGAAGCAAATGACGACAATGATGATAGGATGGTTGAGCAGATTTGCTCCAGTTTGTGTTGCAGCGATGGATGTCGATCAGAGTAATGCAATGAGAAAAATAAGACCATGAGTAGTGAGAAATCAATGAGCGCAGAAATATCCTGCTGTCTGAATAGCGTCCATCCGAGCTCCTGTGAGCGATTACAACAATTGGTGGTATTTTCGTTGTGTCGTTGAGATCAAGCGTCAACTTTAAATCTGTCCTCGAGAAATCCACAAGCTTTGATGGGTCCCAGAAGCGGTGGCTGACGAGAGTTGAAGAGGTAAGTTATAACTCAGCTAAAAAAGGGGAGAAGAGATTTGAAATGACCACATTTGTAAAATATGCTCGCGCACCCCTTTGAATGGAAGGAAAGCTTGGTGAAGAACCGGGCTACGGGGCCAACAGAGAGAATATGAACTAGGGATAAAAGCAAGAGGATGACAATAATGAGGCAAGCGGAAAGGATAGCAAGAATCGTAAGTGTAATACATGTGAACAAGCTTCGGGACCGATTGCCAGGTGGAGGGAGAACAGGGGCAGTTAGAACAGCGAACTATAAAAGAATCACCACCGATATAATGCGGGACGAGGGCGATCGGTACCCTCTTTGACCAACGGTTTGTGAAATTCTCTACCATGTCGGCTATGTATTTGAACCCAACATTGTTCACAGTAATACTGCAAACAAGTGACATTGGCGCAGAAGAACGGCGCAAACTTTCCACCGCATCGAGCACCTTGGCATTCATCGCACATCTGATTGTCCAGGACGTATGGCTTTACTTCTACCTGTTTGGCGTAAAAAGAAAAACGTAATTAAAGTTGAACATTACTATAAAAATTCTCCATCGCTTTGCTTTACCCTTTAGAACCGGATACGCCTTGCAACTGGCCATCAGATTACTACCTGCAGAGCAAGCAAGGGCGATAGATTTGTATATAACTCAACTAATAGGGAACTCAGTAGTTATGATACGAATGTCATGCGTGACTAATACAGCCCAAATGGTGGAAGGGTATAGAGAACCACCCAGAAAACTCTAAGTCAAAAACTATCGATTACAGGTCCGAATTGGAAGAAATGAATCAAAAAAAAATTTTCGCTATGTACGGCGGAACGCGATATTTTGTCACGGCCAGAGAGATGGTGATAAGTCCTAATTTCATTTAAAAATATGCTTTGAACTAAGAAATTACTAAAACACCATTCAATATGAGGGTGTATGGTACATAGTATCGAGTATGATTATATTTTTATATATATCATCCTACAAACCTGGTGTTGCAAATTGAGTATTTGTGCAGTCTAACGATCAGGCTTCAAACGATACTAGCAGGCCGGAACCTATAAATGGTCTAATCTGTTTGTGTTGCGTTGGTTGCTATGGCAGAGCCAAGGTAACAGATAAAACTTACCAGATCCACATGTCGCTTACAAAAACAAAACTGATGGAAATTCAGAGTTTAAGTTCTATTGACAAGGACGAGTACAACTGACTAGACAAAGTAACACAAGATATTTTCGCTTTTGTTTTCATGATCAAATTCGTAAGTTTCGCGCTGGTACTTGAGGGTTGCTGTATTATAGCAACTATGTAGCACAAAAAATCAAAATGGCACCAAGGATCACGACGAGACTGCACCTTGACGTGGTGTGATGGCTTGTGCACCTCTATGACCCAACGAGCTACATAGGATGGCTTTTTTCAAGCCAAAGATCTAGTCATGCCTGGAAGATCGAAGAGTAGAGGTTAGACGAAGTCCAGTCTCCTGGTCCTCCAGGTTGGGGATTCGACTAAAATTTGTTTCAGTCGGTAAAAATAGTGGGAGTAATTGATCTAAGTAAATGGGCCTCCACTTCGCTTCACCCGCTGCCTAGCGGTTAGGTTCTTTCAGAACTAATCGTTTTCCTGCTTAGTGGCTGGACACCCTAGCAGCACCTGTCCATCAAACCCTAGTGTATATTCATTGCGAGTTTGGCAGCGATCAGTGAAGTTCGCTTCTCTGTATTTCGCTGTACGATGATGATGATAATAAGGATCAGAGACACATGAGATGTAGAAGAATCATTCAGGTGATGACAAGAAATGAATAGGACGCTACATGACGTTAAAATCACCTGCGTGATTTAGACTGTCGAAGAAATAGCATGTTTGTTTCGAAGGTTTATATGGATAGGGGAGTTTGTTCGTCTAAATGAAAAGATGCATACAATTGAATGCAACATTAAAGTGATGTTGCACTTAGCATGTTTTAACCTATAGAAATAAATTTTGCTAATTAACGACATGATTAATCGGAAGTATGCTCCTTAAATTAAGCTGAAAGGTAGAGGCCCAATCAAGTTGAATTTATGCAGTACAGAAGGATTTGGAAACCCATAACGATTGTGCAGTTCGTTTATGCAGGACTTAGATCAACGATGAAGCCTTCTGCACTGCAAATGCTGTGGTTCGATTTGCTGCCCCCCGCAGACAACTAGAAGTGAATGAGGATTAGTCTGCTTCAGTAACAATCGTGAGGAAAACACCACAAGCCCACAGCGTCTCGGCCAAACCACAGAGCCTAGGTGAATCATTCACTCCAGAACTGAAAAGCCGCATGGAAGAGGCCCCCCACGACAATGACTGATATGCCTGATTAGCAAACCTAGGTAGATTATTCGCTTTTCATGCAACTAGTCAATCAAAGGCCAAGAATTGGTGGGAGCTGGTTAACGTCTGAAAACCAGACAAGACGGTGAATCGTTGAATGCCGTTCGTCACGGTACGCATCCCTACAAGCATGCAAAACAATATTCATAAAGTGATCGTAAAAATAAAATGCCGTGTGAAAAAGAAATACACGGAACATAGGAGACAGAGAACAAGAGTCAGAATAATTTACACCGGTAACATAAAAAGCATGGTGTCCAAGTATATGGGTATCCGGTAGTTTATAATAGACTGATCACTTATTTATTTCAAAAAACGGCCTTTTGTCATCATGTTTCAGTAATTCACCTGGAATACAAATATCCATCGATTCAAAAAGACTGTGCAAGCGCTATCTCTGTTTCGCGCACAGAGTGAGAACGTTCATAAATCAACATGGCTTCAATTCCGAAGTGTCAGAAATGCTAGGAACGTTTGACAGATATACGACTTCGTACTCGACTTTGATTGAGACGCATACAAAAAACTGTTGCTTGTGTGAGCATTAGTTACCAATGTGAGGATGATATGGTGTAAGTTCATCTACATAAGAGGGCACCACGGAAGACTAGATATGTGACTCAACGAGCTACCTTAAACATCTGGTCATATGAAGCAGCATATAAAACAACTAATCCAGTTATTTATTAACTGCAAGCTAAAATCGTTCAGACTGCTGTACATGAGTCGAATATGAAAAATAGGTACCAAAAAGATCAGGTCTGGGACGGTATTCCAGGGAGTCGGATGTCGATTTTCATCAAAACAAGTAGTCGTATGGTGAATCGCTGGTCCCAGTAATTGTACAGCGGTCACGACGAGACTGCACCTTGAGGTGATGTGATGACTTTTGCATCTCTACACATGATGGCTTTTACTAAGCCTGGAAGGTCGAAGGGTAGGGGCCAGATAAGTTTCAGTCTCCTGGACCTCCAGGTTGGAGGTTTGACTCCAAATAGCGTCTCGTTCGGCGGAATGATAGGAGTATTCCAAGTATTTCAAGTGAATGGATCTCCATTTCGATTTACCCGCTGTCTCACGATCAAGTTCTTGTGGGAAATAAAAGCTTTGGACGAGAACCCCAATCGTTCTCTAGCTTAGGGGCTGGACACCCTAGCAGTACCCGTCCATCAAACGCCAATGCATACACCAACTATGAATGATTCCATACTGTATCGGTCGTCTTGCAGGAAAATCAGGACAGCGCTCATCATCGCACTGAACGCGGTGGATGGTGATAATTGGGCTACGGATCAGATATTCCAACGTTTGTTTAACTCTTGGTTTTCCGTACTCAACCTGTGTCCCTTCTTCCGACCCGTAATATCCCACCAGAAAATTTGTTCGTCACTTGCCAAAGTTTGTCGCCAAGTAGCGCTGTCAGTTGTCTACCACAAAACAGAAAGCAGACGCTGAAACCTCGTCAATCACTGAATCCGGAGGCTTTCAACGTGAGGACTCTGATGCGAATGGGTCAACAAGCGTGCCTAGCGCGTACAATGGACTCTTTGGAGATTGATTTCTCTTTCGCATCGGAGACGCAAATCCAGGATCCTATTAGTATAAGCCACTTGAGCGCGCCACAAGGTTCGTTCTTCGAGAATCAGGCGAAGAGGAAGCGAGTTCCATAAGTCGGCGCAGGGTAGGTACTATACTTAGTAACATGGCCGGGTCTTCTATCGACTGGATCTCCGTCTACAGTCTTTTATGTGCAATGCATTTCCAGGGCCAATCAGCGTCCGGAAGGGGAGCAACACCAAAAGGTGTCTGTTAATTACATCGGCATTATGCACCGACTAATTGCAGTTGATACACAAAAGCACTACGTCTACGACTAACCGTTCTCGTTCGAATGAGTCGACGCTCCGACATGGTAGCCCTTGCGGGTGGCTTTAACGCGCATTAGAAGCTTGCCTAGGCGGTCATAGTGCTCTACCCTGCCAGTGAACAGATAATGGCGATAGACTTCTTTAGTTATGCGCAGACCATCATCTATTACTATCCAATACCAACTTCCAACATAACTCTCGACGGATAGCAACGTGGCGCTCTAAATCAACTGTTACGCTCACTCAAATCGACCACACAGCAGTAAGCTACTGTTGGCGTGGCTTAGGACCAACCTGCAGGTCCTACTGGACCACATGCGTTAAATCTGATCATGCGTTTGTTTTGATACAGTTCACTCTCCGACTCATTGGCCGGCGACAAAATCAGCAAACTTGATTACGTCATTCATTACCAGTGGGTTCAAGAAGTTCACGCATGTCAAGTCACATCTAACGCGTTAGCGAAGCGAGCTTCAGCGTAATGGGGTAGATTAGCCGAGCAATGCATTCCGCAGTGAATGCTGCTTGTGGGTCTGAGCCACGAGCCCGTCGGAGGTATTAGGTTTCTCACTAGCTAGTTGCTCTGATGGAGGAAAAACGACAGATCCCGATATACTGGGATCAAAGCAATGGATAAATGGCGTTTGCAACGTCAGCTCACGAAAATTCTCAAGAAGAACCGTGGGAACTGGTGAGCCAAAGTAGCCAGTGAAATGGAGGCAGCCGCTGCACAAGGAATAGTCAAAGACCGCTTCAAATGATACGCAATACGGGATATCGGTGAAACCTACTTAGTGAAACAACCTGCAATAAAAGCGAACAAGCCATTCGCAGTAGGGAGCAACAGTTTGATTACGCGGCGGAGTACTTCAGCGAACAATTTAACTGGCCTGCCGCTAGCCAGATTACCTTGTCTGTAACCCAAGTCTCGTGGGCAGTGTCATGTGAATCTCCTACTGAAACAGAAGTATTATCTTGCATTCAAGTTCTGAAGAAACGAAAAGTATCAGGATCCGATAGACTCCCTCCTACACTGGCAAGATGACAGGTGACGAAGTCGTAAGCTCTATTACCAATTTATTGCTATCCGGTTACAATAGCGCATCTATTCAGCTTGGGGGGTAAATAATTGATCGTTTTCATTTTCAAGAACGGGTATCGGAACGGCTGCGTAAGCCACCACGGGATAAGTTTGATCTCAGTTGTCACCAAAGTGTTAGTTAGCTTCCTTCATAATTCGATGTCTGAATCCTTTGACAGGTACCAACATCCGCGAACAACAAGCCGAACTCCGGTCTAGTAGTGAATGTATTGATTATTTTTTTAGTTTTAGGTCTTCGAGCTGCATCGCGCCCACCGTCGACCAACGATCGCAGTGTTCCTTGACCTGAAAGGAGCCTTCGACTCAGTTGACCGTGAAGCTCTGACGGGTTTCCTTCTTCGAAAAGGAATGCTCAAGAAGTACGTTAACGTACTGAAGTTACTGTACTCGCATACCTCTGGTCGAGTGAGGGTCTATGAGGAACTAAGTAGACACTTCGCCAAGGGTGCTCCATTTCGCTATTCCTGTTCCATTTCGTCCGATGAAATTTTGGAGAAAGCACTTATTGGTCTCGAAAATGCAGGTATTGAATGTGTAACCGGAGAAAATGTGTGCAATTAAGAGTACGCCGATTACATTCACTGTCTGTACGAATGTAAGGACAAACAAACAAGTGCTGTTGTCAAAGGCGGTGTGTGCTTCGCACCTAGGTGCAAGCTGATACTGCATCACTGTATGTTTTCTACACTGTGAAACTAAATGGTCAGGATTTGGTTACGGTGGATTGTGTATCTTAGTTGTGACCAATTACCGTAGCGCAGCAACGGAGGCCACCCCGCATTTCCCAGGCTTCAGCAGCGCACGCAGAACTGAAACACCTTTGTTGTAGACGCGACGTTTTATTGAAGTTGAATGGTCGTATATTGTGCAACCGTTCACTCTGTTCTGGTTTATGGTTGTGAGACCTTGAGTTCGCGAGTAGAAGACATTCATCGACTAGAAGTTGTTTATGTAGTGTAGCCCACGCGGGATGGAGCGAACGGGTTAGTTTTCTGGAGGTAAGCCGTCGTGTGTTTGGGAGTTTATCGACAATACGCTCGCTAGCTCATCAAATGGATATTAGTAGGCTTTCCTGGCTAGAACACGTATTGCGTATGTCCGGCTCTCATTTGCCGCACCGCGCTTTATTCTTTGTATCAGCTCCGGGCTGGGGGAAACCGCGTGGAGGTCAACAGATAACGTGGAGACGAGGCATGAAGAAATACCAAAAGGCATTAGGTAGGGTAGGTATCTCGCGCCTTCCACGTTAGGGTCCGAAAGATTCCGCAACTGGTTGATTGGACAATGAAAGATATTGCGGCGAACCGAAAACAGTCGCATTCTTGTTATCATTTTCAATCAGGTCAGAAAGCTTAAAACGGTATATATCCACAGTTCGATTGTGTACTCTGTGTTGACCACAATGTTTCACCTTCTTCTTCCTCCCTCAAAGTAGGTCCAATTCCTGTCCATCTTAAATTTTACCAATAACCTTGTATGAAATGCGAGTTTGACAGCGATCAGTGAAGTTTGCTTCACTGTATTTCACTGAACGATGATGGCATAACTATGCTGAGGGCAAACTGACAAACATTAATAAGGATTGTCCTTTTGTCTATACAAAAGTGAACGATGAAGTGACACGTCAGTCCTCCACCGATGTTGTTGATCGTAGTACTGGTTCATTTAATTCCTTACATCTCCTTTTATCTTTAAGAAATATTCTCTAACACACAAAATATATCGCGTGTGTAGAATAAACAAATACTACGAGTAAAATAAACAGAACTAGACAAATGGCAAAGTATTGAAAATAAGCGAAAACAACTACAATATGGAAAAATACTTGTGAAGTAGACCGAACTCGGTCATAAATAGAAACAGAACGCAATGGCACTTGACAAGGGAATTCGCTGTCAACTCGACCCAGAATAAAACTGAGACTGGAAACCAGTGTCCACATTTCGGCGAAAAATGGTATCACTTATTTTACTTATGAACGGAGCGTATCTCATTTGAACGCGATGTCAGGTTCTTATTTCATTGATATATCATTCAAGTACGACAATGAGGAAGATCAGATATCTTTGATGGAGATGTCTGACGCTCATTCAGAAGCGCTTATTGAGAATGGACCGCGGAAAAATTCGCGCTGATCGACAATGAGAAGTCTGTACACCGTGTGCCTGCTATACGAACAGGCGAAACGCTCGTGGCAGTTGAAAGCGGTACGGGCGAACATAGGTGGAGAGTAGAAACCGTCATTCTTTTTTTCAGGTCATTGATGGCTAGGAAGCAGGTCAGTGATAAACAGCTTGCAAAAATTCCGGTTAGTGGACAAATGTACAGCACATTTGCGTACCCAACAATACCTAAGATGGGAAAAAGAAGCCAAAACGGCGAAAAGTTTTGATCAATTATCCCATTCGGTTTTGTAAACGAGTGTCTTAGAAAGCAGAATTGTCAAATGTGGACGAATGAGGATATGCGGGAGTGACGCTGGATGCTATGCTATTTTGAGAATGGAACTATGAATAAAATGGTATGTTTTGCGTGCAAACTTACTCGTTTATCGATCTCATTATGTTGCAGCTGCACAAATCGAGCACTGATTGCTTTGATATAACTTTGTTGATTGGAGAACGCCACGCGACCGGCGCCCTTTGGATACTTTAGCTCCGGATCGGTATCGATGCCAGCGTAGCAAACTCCGCCATACAATCGATCCATGATCAGTGCCAGCTCAACTGGAATTAAATGATAGAATAGCATGAACAAATTTCAATTAATCAAAAGCGATTTGTATTACTCCCTGAAATTCTAAATTACCGAGATACAGCACAAGCCGCGAGGTAAATTCTTGGTTGAATAGCAAAACAGTGACGCATATTAAGACGCTGCCTGAATCATAAAGCAATTCGCATCTTATTTTCGAGCCAGAAAAAAATGTTTTAACAGGAATGCCAGTGGTGAAAATGAAATGAACTGGCATTGTTAAAAGAGGAAAAAATGTGCTTAGCGAAATACAACCACTTATACAATTGAATGAAAGGCTACAAGCGCTGCGCTTAAACCTGGATGAAAACCAGAATCAGGTGATCTCAATAGCAGTTACATTATTGAACAACCAATGTCCACAGTATGGGCAGAATCTTCCGTGGAAAATATCACTCAATAATTAAAACAGCAGTCATGTATAATGCACTAAGCAAATGCCAAGAACCGAAGGACATCGAGAGGTAAAATGTGGCGAATCAGTTCAGTTTCAGTCTGTTTGAACAAACATCAACCATTCATTTTCGCGCGGCGGTTCTGAGGGCTCTCTTTTGGCCGCCCATTCCGGTGAAAGAGTAGAGGATTTGAAAGTTGAGAGCAATACTGAAGAGAAAATGGAGAACTCCGGGAGACTGGGACTGCAATGAAAGTGAGAAGATGCACAGTCACCAGCGTTAACGACAGTCAGACACATCGCTTAGGGTCTCTAACCATTGCTTAGAATGATGCCATCCAGTGAGCCTAACGCGATTGATACGACATTGAAGTGAATGGCGATAGTGATGCTAAATATAGATGTAGATGCAATGAATAGGGCAGGATGTATGGTAACACCAAAGGGGTGTGTCAGGGGTAAGCAAATAATAGAACGCCCAGTGGTCTCTGCAAACAAACGGATGCAGTCAAATGGGTAACAATGACTCATCGGTATTCCGAAAAGAATGGAACAAGGTATAGAGAAGCACACACGTCATCCGGACGGTGGGCGGAACACCAACAACAAATGACCCAGGCGCATTCGGGCAGAACCAGACGGGGAAATGGAAGCAAATTGGTCCTAGTGCGGCCAAATGCACTACCTTAACGCAACTATGGTCGTCATAGCACCACATTTGCTTTCAATGCATGAAAACCGCAAACATGAGTGTTTTCTAACGATGTGCAGACACCAGCTAGTTCAGTTGTTTACGCGAAGTCAATACTAATCATCTGGTCTTTCGTAGTGATTGCTACGACGTACGCCAACTGTCTGGTTCGGTCAGGACCAACAGACTGAATCAACGGAAGGGAGCAACACACCGCGAAACTGTGATTTACTACCAATATGCATCTGTATCCGAATAATGATAACAGGCTGGAGGGGAAAAGACAATAATAATAATAATATCAATGGAAGATATCTCTAGTAAAATTGGTCAAATCCGGTTGAAAAGTGCAGCTACGAACAACCTAAAACCATCCTCACCCGATTTTGTTGGTGAATAAAGTAGTAGGGGAATTAGCCCACACTCCGTCAAGTTGGGAAACAAAATCCATAAATTATATTATTAAGAATCCGATAATACAGCAGTTTATCGTATGGAGAAACAAATAAATAAAGCAAAAGCGATTTCCATGATTTTTCATTAGATATATTAGATGGTGTTACACGGTTCTGCCGTAATCCGGGTCAGTTTCAATTCCAAGCTGTCTGAAGCTTTGTGGCT